TTATCAATGTCATCTATTACAGCCTCCGCTAAATCTTTGTGGATATGTAATACTGCCAAGTTGTTTAAACGCATTTGACTCATTGATGTTTTTAACCATGTCTTTAGCCTTCTCAGTGCCGAAAAGGAACGTTCCGCCGTGCAAGACAAGGCCGGGATCGTCAAAATTAATCTTATTAATTTTATAAATTTCAGAATCAAGTCCTTCATATTTGGATTTGTTTTTAAAAAATCCACTATATCTTTTAAAGATTTAACCGTTACTTTTTTAGATTTTAAGATGTTCAAAAAAGTTGGTAATGTGTTCTTAGACTATCCTCCTCCAAATCGTCTTTATAAAAATATAATAATGATTTTGCATCGGGTTCAATTCCAATTACAAATTTTTCGAAACGACTGAGAAGTTTGGTAACGTCGGAATTAAAGCGATGTCGCATTGCTACGAGTACATTATCAAGAACTTAAAAATATTTTTTTTATTATCTTTAAAGTCGCTATAGTTAATTTATAAACATGGATTTTTTCAGGTGTGTTGGATATATCGACATATCAAAATTTAATTCTGTTCGTCTCTCGCTAGAGACGAAGGGTAAAGAATTTAGAAAAGCAAGCACTGTTATCGCAGTGCCTGCCGATGTTTGTCTGAATCCTTATAAAGAAACGTTACAAATGTCCAGCTCTAATTGGTTCTCGCCTGAATCGAGACAAATATCGGCGTAAATGTTTAAGCGCGTTCCTTGCGAGCGAGTTAGTTGGTGTCGAACAACGAGAACCATGAGTTCTGTGTAAGAAAATAAATTTTATGTTCACACGAGAAAAGTCTTGTTGAAAAGTTAACTCTCAACGCCTTTATATATCCATTTTCCTGGATCAGCCGAACCTACTCCAATCTCGAACAGAGAAAAACTGGTTCTTCGAGCCGGATCGCGTTGACTCAGGCCGGCATTGAGAGAAGGAAGTATACCTTGTGTGAAAAAGCGCCGCAGACGGTCAACGAAGAGGAAGATCCGCGGAGTTAACAGCCATTACGCTAGTACCTTACACTGCTGTGGAGCTTGCATCGGGACATCGCAGCGTAAAGCGAGTGTCTTACGGAGTAATCTACACGGAGTTCAGATCTTGAATAATCATTTGAATCCTCAATTCTACTTGACACTAATTAAAAAAAAAAAAAGAAGAAAATTAACAAGCTCACCGCTGTCGTTCTATGGTGGAGACGTCCTCAAAACATAAGGGAAGATAGACAGATAGCTGGTTGCATTAAGACATAATTACTCAAAGTCTTAAATTCCACGCCAAAAGGGTATAACATCGTTGCAACGATGGAGGTGTTGAAGGAATTGTACGCCAAACAAATTACCCTTTCTGGACACCTGGACTCATCACTCGCGCGGTGGAAAATTTCAAGAAGATCGCTAAAGCGCAACGAACCAAAGCAGTTGTGCGGAGCCGCCTCGACAACCTGCGGCGTTACTGGAAGAACTTCCAAGGTCAACATGCCCAGATTTTGACGCTGGCGGAAGAGGATGCGATAAACGATGAATATTTTGTTAAAAATATTTTTGCGATTGCATTCGACTCTTTCGAACTAGCGTGCGATTATTTTGCTGACCGTCTTGCGAAATATAATGTGCCGGCGACATCGCAACGATCAATTGTCGGAAATGATAGCGATAATTCGAGAAGTAGCAGTCGTATAAAGTTACCTAACATTGCGCTGTCCACTTTTTCGGGCAAATTCCAAGAGTGAGAACCCTTTCGCGATTTATTCCTTACTCTCATAGATTCAAATAAAGCATTAACCGGAGTACAAAAATTGCAGTATTTAAAGACAAGCGTAACGGAAGAAGCGAGTCTAGTTTTGAAAAATTTTTTGTGTCACGAAAGCGAATTACGTGGCAGCGTGGCAGTTATTGTAAAAAAGATACTATAATGTATGTTTAATTGTACATGCCTACCTGCAATCTATTCTAAATATACCGACGGTCAGTGTTTCCTCGGGTAAAGAGCTACGCAATTTAAGAGGTACGGCGAACGATACGAACCGCGCTTATCAATCTAAAGAGGCTTGTAGACGCTTGGGAAGATCTATTTAATTATGTAATAATTACGAAATTGGATAAAGAAACGCGAAATGAATGGGAGCTATCTCGAAAAGATCGAATTGAACTGCCTACATTCGCGGAAATCAATGAATTTCTCTCCTCCCGCATTAATGCGTTCGACGCCGTAGGCAATACGTCCATGACCGATCAAGAAAAAAATAAACGCGAACTGCGGAACCAGAAAGTGAGTGCCTCTTCCAATCTGACGTCAACCAAATCATCGGATTGCACACTTTGCGGTGCGAACCACATATTAGCATCTTGCGCTAAATTTAAAAGGAAATCGGTAAGTAAAAGGCGTTAATTTTTGTTTGAAAATGTCTTATGCTTTAACTGCTTAAGGAAAGACACTCAACTTTCAATTGCCTTTCAAAAAACACTTGCCAACATTGCAAACGTAAGCATCATACGCTCGTACACCTGAAAAAATACAAAAATGCGCTAGCGGGAAAAACTGTCGAAAATAAATCTGACGAGGCGGGGAATTCCGATGAGAAAAAGGCGATACTGCAGAGCAAGGCGCTAGCAAACGAATCTCGTCGCGCAACACTGTGCGAATATACTGATGGGGGTTACGTTGCTCTCTTCTGCTTTGGTTAAGCTCGGCTCGGAAAAGGGTAGGTGTATACAAGTTAGGGCTTTATTAGATCAGGGCTCTCAAGTGTTTTGCGTAACGGAACTTAATGCGTCGCCAATGCATTAAGAGCGAAAAAACACGCAATATCTGCGGAAATCACCGGTATCGGCAATTCTTCAGCACAAAAAGTTAAGCATTTAATTAATCTAAAGTTGTCGCCAGTAATATCAGAAGGGGAAGTAGAAAATCAAGTTATTACGTTCGCAGCCTTTGTGTTACAGAAATTAACAAGTTACAGCTCTAAATCGAGTAATTTAAAATGGGAACATCTATAGAAAGGATACGCTTGGCGGAGCCTGCCGGGAGCGATTCCGTTCCCTTTGATTTACTGATCAGAGCCGATACTTATAGTAAAATAATATTGCCGGGAGTAAAAAAAGGGCCGCTGAATGCCCGAATCGCGCAACAAACGATTTTCGGGGGGATTATTTCGGGTCCGGCTTACGAAGGGGAGAAAAAAGAGCCTTGCACATTACAAGTAAATCACTTGAAATACGATGATCTTATGCAAAACGAGTTAAAAAAGTTCTGGGAGCTTAAAGAGGTACCGCGCATGTCTTTATTAACGACGGAAGAAAAGGAGTGCGAGCGACATTTTTTGACGCATCGCCGCTTGCCAAACGGACAATATGAGGTTCGTCTTCCCTTGAAGCGAGATCCCTTTTCGTATCTGGAAGACACGGAAATAATTGCTAAGAAAATTTTCAAATCAAACGAAAGTCGATTAAGAAATAGTTCGCAGCTCAAGGAATATAACGAATTCCTCGCAGAGTATCGCGCCCTAGGTCACATGATAAAGACAAGTGCGATCGCGACGGAAAGCTTGTTTTCATTTCTCATTTGCCGGTAAACAGGGAATCAAGCTAAACGACAAGACTTCGCGTTGTTTTTAATGCGTCAATGCGATCTTCCAACGGTACCACGTTAAATGATTGCTTGCACGTAGGGGAAAAGCTTCAAAATGATTTAACGGCTTTGCTGCTTCGTTGGCGTAGATTCCGTTTCGTTTACACGGCGGATATAGCGAAAATGTTCAGACAAATTTGCACATCAAATGAAGATACAAAACTACAATGCATTTTGTGGAGAGAAGCTTCGGAGTTCGAGGTTGAGACTTATAAGTTGTTAATCGTAACGTATGGGACAGCTTGCGCGCCTTTTATTGCAAATCGCGTTTTGCGACAATTAGCTGAAGATGAAAAAGAGAAATTTCCCATTGCTTCAGCCGTATTGCAGGAAGATTTTTATGTAGACGATGCTATGTTCGGCACTGATGACATACCCTTATTAAAATAGATCCGCGACGAATTAATTGAGATGCTCAGGGCGGGCGGATTTACAATACGCAAATGGGCAAGTAATAATCCCATGCTACTAAAAGATATTCCAATCGAAGATCACGGATTGGCTGTCGATAAATTTTTACAAAGCGACGAAAAGGTAAAAGAATTACGTATTTCTTGGAATCCGAATGCAGATAAATTTCAGTTTCACACAAACTTGAATAATCAGATGAAAACTAAATTTACCAAAAGATCGTTCTTGTCAGTAATATCGCACGTGTTTGATCCTATAGTATGGCTAGCACCGATAACTATCATAGGAAAAATTATTATACAAAAATTGTGGATGCGAAAATAGATTGGGATGAGGAGCTCTCCCCAGATCTTATTACTGAGTGCCAACATTATCATTCTCAACTAGAAAAAGTAAGCGATATTTCATTGCCTCGTTGGATCGGTCTAGTAAGCGAGCCGCAAACAATAGAAATACATGGGTTTTGCGACGCGTCTAATCAGGCTTATGCTGCCGTTGTTTATTTGCGAATTCTTTCATTTAACGGGGAAATCCGTACCTCATTGATTTACGCGAAAACTAAAGTAGCGCCCTTAAAAGTTCAAAGCATTCCGAGGCTAGAGTTGTGCGCGGCGGTCTTGCTTTGTCGTGCAATTACATTCACAATAGATGCTTTAAAAATTAAAATTTCCTTAATTTTTGGTCTCAATTGTTGGTCTGACTCGACAGTTACGTTAGATTGGATTAATAGTCCTCCAGGCAGATGGAAAGTTTTTGTTGCCAACCGCGTGTCTGAAATACAGACCAGCCTTCCAAATGCTCGATGACGGCACGTTAGCGAGACGCAAAATCCAGCAGATTGCGCTTCCCGAGGATGTAGCTTAGAGGAATTGAAATTACATAACTTATGGTGGTGTGGCCCCGCGTGGCTAAAAGTCACGGAGAAGAATTGACCTCAATCAACTAAAAGAAAATGTGCCACAAGGGAAGAATTAAAAAATTCCGTGCACGTTGGCATTAATAATGATGGTCTATTAGAAACGATAAATAACGTTTCATCGTGGCCTAAATTAATGCGTATAATGGCGTACATGTTAAGGTTCGTGCGCAACTGCCGAGAATCACATCGCGAAATCCAGGAATAATTTTATCACGTGAAGAAATCGAAAACGCTAAATTGCTATGTATTCGTTTAGTGCAAAACGTGCACTTCCCTGACGAGATTAAGAAATTACGGAAAGGCAAAGCGGTAAACGCCCAGATCAGAATAGCTGCTCTCGCTCCGTATCTGGACAATCGCGACGTATTACGCGTAGACGGACGCCTACACAATTCCTTGTTGCCAGAAATAACGAAACACTCCGTAATTTTACCGCAATCTGAATTAGTTAAAAAGTTAATCTTTGAATTTCTCATAATCACACTTCACGGCGGTGTACAATTAACACTGAGAGCCCTGAGACAGCAATTTTGGATTATTAATTAATTATTTCTCGAAATATTGTGCGAGCTATAGTGCACAATTGCGTAGTGTGCACGCGGTACCGAGCAGATCCTCTGAATCAGCAGATGGGCAACTTGCCGGCGACAAGAGTACAGCCGGATCGCGCGTTTTCAAAGATAGGGATCGATTATTGCGGTCCGTTTAATGTGCGAACTTCGCCGGAACGTGGGCATAAGTCGAGAAAATGTTACATTGCATATTATTTGTTTTGTAACATGTGCAGTATATATCAAGCTTGTCAGTGACTACTCTGCTAGCGCCTTCCTAAAGGCCTTTGAGCGTTTCGTTTCGCGTCGGGGCCTTCCCTTCATCATCTATTCAGACAACGGGACTAATTTTAAGGGAGCAGAAAGAGAATTGGCGAATCGTATAAGGGAACTTGCACGGGATGAAAATCTTTTAAATAAAATTGCCACGGACGGAATAGATTGGCACTTTATTCCTCCAAAAGCATCTCAATTCGGAGGCTTATGGGAAGCTAGCGTTAAGAGTGCAAAACACCATTTGAAACGAGTATTAGGAAATTATATGCCTACATTTGAAGAGTTTGCAACGCTGCTATGCAAAGTAGAAAGTTGCTTAAAATCACGACGTCCCTTGGCTTTTTTGTACGATGATCCAGAATCTTACGACATGATAATCCCAGGACATTTCCTAATTGGTACGAGCTTGAATGCAATAACCGATAGGTCCTTGATAGAAATGTCAGACTTAAAACTTTCTCGTTGGCAAGCAATACAAAAAATGCACGACAGATTCTAGCATATATGGTCCTCCGAATATTTGAACCACTTACAACAACGAATTAAATGGCGAATTCAAATGGATAATTTGCGCGAAGGCGATTTAGTCTTGATGATAAATAATCTAATTTGCACAGTCAGATGATTTTATAATATAAATTATTTTATATTATTAACTATTTCTTGCACATTCTTATGTGCATACCAATGATGACGAGATGTAACACGAGAATCAACATTCCAAGGCTGACATACGCTAAATGTATATAATGGGATACGTTTAGGAATAATCTTATTTATTGTATCTGAAGTATTATTTAATTTTTTTCTCTTTTTTTTTTTAGCCTACTTTCACTCCTCCTTAGCCCCAAACATAGAAATCGAAACAAATATGACCCCCTTATGGATATAAACCATTTAATCCCTTTGATATCCCATTATTAAATACTATTATTTTAATTTCATTTGGATAATTTGCCAACAACAAAATGGCCTCTGGCTGGAGTCATAAAGGCCATAAAGCTGCAACCAGGGAAGGACAATTTTATCAGAGTAGTGCGAGTAAAAACGCATACTCTAGTTTCGTGCGTCCAATGTAACATAACTATGTAAATTATAATATTTACCGAGAGGTAATCGTTACATTTAATTAGATATTAAGTTAGATATTAAGTTAGATATTAATTAGATAAGTTAAAACATATTAAGTTTATGTTTCGAACAATTAGTGCCTATAGTTTCTTAAAAAAAAAATTCCTTTCTTTTACAATAGATATACGTGCGCCAAAATAGTGTAAGTACAATTTAATTGAAGACTGATATACTCTACCTAGATCGATCATAATAGATCGAGGCGGGCGGAATGTTGGATATCGACATATCAAAATTTAATTTTATTCGGCTCTCGCTAGAGACTAAGCGTAAAGGAATTTAAAATAGTAAACACTGTGATCACAGTGCCTCCCGATGTTTGTCTGAATCCTTATAAGGAAACGTTACAAATGTCGGGCTCTAATTGGTTCTCGCCTGAAGTCGAGACAAATATCGGCGTAAACGTTTAAGCGCGTTCCTTGCGAGCGAGTTAGTTGGTGTCGAACAGTGAGAGCCATGAGTTCTGTGTAAGGAAATAATTTTTATGTTTGCACAAGAAAAGTCTTGTTGAAAAGTTATCTCTACAACGCCTTTATATATCCATTTTCCTGGGGATCAGCCGAACCTACTCCAATCTTGTACAAGGTGTGAAAATCCTCACCCACCTGATTTTGCACCACACAATCCACACAAAAACGCCGGGCCTGTATACATTATTATCGCATTTCTGGCATAAGTCCAAACTCAGCGGAATTATATATTAGTTTCAATCCTTGGAGAACAGCATAACTCTTCGCCATAGTGTTTGAGATACAATTCTTAAGAAAAGTATATTGGAAATAATATAAAGTTTGCAACTTTCAAAAAGAACATTGCAAAAACGGTAAGATACATTTTGATGTACTTAATTTTTAAAAAAACTCTACAGTAAATAATAAATTTTATTAATTGTATATATTTATATTTTTTATATAAAAAAACTACAACTATGATGTAGAACCATATTTTCCATTATTATAATTATCTTTATTGTTATAACTATTATAATTTGTAGTTACAATTTTATTTTTTACATTTATTTTATATTAAGATGGTTCTTTAGTAAAGTACTGCAAATTTGGAGTGCCTCACCAGGATCCATTCAAAATCATAAATATTTGCACAATTTGAATAAAATATTAAAAGTACGTATATATCTAATAAAATAATATGAAACCAACGATGTGTAGTATGCAAACGTCATGAATAAAATCACTAAAAAGAAATTAAACTGATAGAGAAAAAATGATATTTCGATTATATTTCTCTACGTTTTTTTTTTTTACCAAAAAGAAACGTTTCTTTAAACATTTTTTGAGTGAATATTTTAAAACCACTCAGAAGCATTTTCAAGGTGCTACGTGGGTTATTTCATCGATGACCTACTCTAAAATTTTGCACACGTCAAGTTTGGTACTTCAACTTCATTATATAAAAAAAAAAAGACATTTCTGTAGCTTGATTTACTAAAGAACCACCTTAAGTATTAATTAGTATAATTAAATTATTGTAAGTTACATTTTATTTTAAAGTCATTTTTTTCGTTATTTCTAAATCAAACAATTTATACTATATTTACAGATTAGCCATGCAGTTTGCCGTTTTATATATAATCGTCATCTTGTTTTTACAATCGTCAACTTGCTGGTCCACACAAGCAATAGACAACGATGGTTACAATGTTTACAATGTCGTAGAATTTCCATCAAATTACATGGACGAGTCGGTGCGATATCTCTGTGAAGATGACACAATTTCTTTAAACTTCTCAAATGCAGTAATCTCTGAGATCAACCAAAATTTTATCAGTAGTTCTATAATTACTTGCCTCAACCTCATGAATAATAATATTTGGAACATTGGTAACGGCGCTTTCGACAAACTTCCAAATTTAACTCATTTGTTTCTTTCGAACAATAGACTTACAGGAAATCAACTCTTTAATTTTGGAAGTCATAATAAGTTACAAGTTCTTATTATGAATGAGGCAATGAAAGACTGTGATTTCTTTTATAAAATTATTTCCGGCGAATATCCCAACTTAGAAATTTTGTCTCTCCGTAAAAA